ATCCCCCTTTCAGATCCCATCGAGCGCATCCACCTGGCAGAACGTGCACCCAGAACCCGCACTAGGAATGTGGTTTTGGCATTAAATCCTACAGAACAGACAAGCTCCCCAGGAAGTTGGAAGGAGAACAAGGGCCAAGTCACCCCCTCACAGCACTCGCAGGAGTACACATGTTCTGCGTGCCAGCCCGGCACCCCCAGGGGCGGCAAGGGGCTGCTGCAGGCACGGGCGTCATCAGAGGGCAGGCTGAGGGAGCCGGAAAAGCACTGCGGTCTGACAGGGGCATCCCCCCCACTTTTTTTCAAGTAGACAAGGGAGTTTCCCCTGCCTAATTCATACGAAGGACTGGAGGGAGAGACAGGGGCTGTGTGTTGGTAGAGGCAGGGGGCATTCGGGTCAGCATTAATCTATCTATTTAAACTGTCAACTAAGATACGGGTTGGCACCCAGCTGAAACATTGGGTATGTAGATATGGACAATGGCAGAGGGTTGTGACTCACTGTCAAGGGTTCAGTTTGACACGAGACAACACACTCAGAAGATATGTCTACCAGCGGTATGGAAGGGAGAAGATAATTATTAAAATAAAATCCTATGTAAACTGTTTTAAAAGTGAGAGATCCATCTGAGTCAGTGACTTTGGTAGGAGACAAAATATGATCTTCTGGTGAGCCAAAAACCACATTTTATATGACTTTTAAGTAGTAGATGCTGAACTGAATACAGTGACGTCCTGAGCTAAGGAATATACAATGTTTTAAGGGAATGGATAGAGCCCCATCTTTACACATTAGTGTGTGACTTCAAGTTTTTTTCCAGGGCCACCCAAGGCAACCTGCAAGGACACCTTCCTCATTTTCATACTATGCATGTTTTCAGCTTCCAATGCTCTCTTATAACCTTTAAAAGCTTCCTTGATTCTCATCTCCTTCTTACACCCGCATCAGCATGAAACTCCCTCTCAATCTGTCCATGATTCTTTTTTTTATGAGCAACAGCTAATTAGGAGTAGGTGCCGCTGCACAGCTTCAGACAAGATTCCACTTACTATGACTATGTTACAAATACTGGGCCTAAATATGTATCTAAGCTGTATTGTAAATGAAAATAGGCTGTTTCTGAATTTTAAGCGACTTTCACATAACTAATTTTCATATTCATTAACCAAGGCTATGTAAAAGGCCTAAGAACAAATTATAGATTCAAATGTCCAATCCTTACAGATGCATTCTTCAAATGATCAGAACATTTACACTTAGGGATTATATAAAACTTATTTTTGTATGTCTATACAGTCCTGTATGCAACAATACAACTGATTCTCAACTAGTTTTCTCAGCTGATGGTGGGCAGCAGGAACATGTCCACCATCTGTTGAAGGTGCCTACATCTCATAGTTCCCAGGTGTGAGCCTGACTTAACTACAGAATTCAGGGAAAGTACACTTCCCATCATCCACTAGGGTACAGAGATCTAACTTCAGTGCCCACCCACAGGAGACAATGATGCAGACATGGGTTAGGGGAGGGGACAGAAACTTACGGGAACAGCATTTTTCCAGTGCGGTTGGGGCAGCCCCAGGGCTCTGGGGCTACGGTGGCGGTGGCAGGTCCTCAGGCAGAGCTGTAGCAGTCCTGCAACTTGGGTCTCGGAGGCTCAGCTTGGTCTGCTAACCCCTCCAAAGAGTGTATATATACTTAGTACCTCCCTTCCTATTTAAATCAGCTCAGTTCTTAGAAGTGTGTGGTCCAAGGACCCTGGGAGTCCCTCAGACCCTTTTAGGGAGTCTGTGAGATCCTCTTTTCTAACTATGTATCTGTGTGAAGCCAGTTTTTCTTCATTTTACCTTAATGAAAACAGTATCATTCACACCAGTTAGAATGGCAACTCTCCAAAAGACAAGAAATAACAAACGTCAGCGAGGATGTGGAGAAAAGGGAGCCCTCCTACACTGTTAGTGGGGATGTCAGTTAGTGCAGCCACTGTGGAAGGCGGTATGGAGGGCCCTCCAAAAACTGAAACTAGAAATACCATACCACCCAGTAAATCCACTTCCAGGAACATACCCCTCAAAAACCAAAATCCTTGATTCGAAAAGATATATGCACCCCTATGTTTATTGCAGCACTGTTTACAATAGCCAAGATATGAAAGCAATGTAAGTGTCCTTCAGCAGATGAATGGATAAAGATGTGGTGCATATACACAATGGAATATTATTCAGCCATAAGAAAAGAAATCCTGCCATTTGTGCCATGGATGCATCTAGAGGAGATTATGCTCACTGAAATAAGCCAGGTGGAGAAAGGCAAATACCATATAATTTCACTTATTTGTGAAATACAGAAACAGAACAAAACAAAATGAACAAAATTGCAGTAGACTCAAAGACATTGAGAAGTGACTGGTGGCCACCACGGGGGAGGGGCTGGGGTGAGTGAGTGGGGAGCATCATGAGGGGGATAAAAGGGCACAAGAATTCTCAGTCATAAGGTGGTCTGGTCATGGGGATAGTAGTGCAGCATAGAGAATACAACCCAAATCTCTGAAGAGTCATCTAGTATCAAAAGCCCTGGAAAGTGATAATTTTATCAATCCTGGGAAGTCCCCTTTGGCTTGGTGGGAGTGAAGCAGTCACTTGGAATGAACTGACTTTAGTCACTTGCCACTTGGAAATGTTCTCATGTGCAAATCAAACCACCAGACTTTGTGCTCTTTTTCATTCATCACCAAATACACAGAGCCTGGCAGAATATCTGGCACATGGTAGACAAATGATCAAATCTAACCTGATTAAATGAAAGAATCAACAGAATGAGTAAACTTGTCACTCATTTTACTTGCTTTCCAAATTCATCAATTGGTATTGGTTAACTAATAGTCTACTGCCATTCTTACCCTGTACTTATCAAAATTACTATCCGGTTATGAAACTTTCACTAAAATTACTGATACATTATTAATTACTATTACAAAGTTTGCCCACTGTAAACTATTCTATTCATCCAACAAACATTTGTTATTTACTAGCAGAATATGGCTTTAGGCTTTTCTTACAAGTTTGGTAATAGGTAATATTGTGTTTCGACTCACAGTAGGTCAGAGCTACTGTAATCAAAGTAAGAAAAAAATGCTAAACACAATTCAATGTACAAGGTTCTATGTATAAGGCTCCACGGTATATGCCTTGTACATAAAAGTTCAACCTGTAATTTCCCAGAAATCTCTAAGCAATGCACAGTTAAGGTGTTTAAACTATGATAGTATTAGAAAACGCTACAAGTTTTGTGTAAACACCTATCTATAAGTTGCTCCTTTACAGCTACCCATGTGAGTTTAGGTTCTCTGAGAAACAGATGATGAGATGGGATTAAATGAGAATGAGATTTATTGGGGAGACATTCGTGAATTACCAGAGGGAGGAGGGGACAGAATCTTGACACTTGTGAAGAGGAGAGGAAAGGAAAGAAGGGTTGGATAGGAAGCGTCTCTGACCGCAGCACAATCTTAAGAAAATTCTGGGCAGGCTAATGGGGAGTCCTCAAGCCAACGTCACCCACCAGGGATGGGGCCAGCGTGCCCATTTACTGTAGCCCTGTCTTACTCATCCATTGCTGGGAACAGCCAGGGGAAGTGTGGTCTCCACAGGAACACGGTGGTTCAGTCTGGTGAGAACACTGCTTCTCACTGGAGATTTGAGTGACACATGTCCATTGCTGCCTTCTCGTCTGTTGTTAGTCTTCAGGTATAATGTGTGATGGACATAAAGGCCATAAATATTTTCATGCCACCAAATGTTACCTTTATATTTGATGACTGTCATGAAACATGTTACTATTAACAGAGGTTAAAGATTCTATTTGGTGTTACATATTTTATATTAGTTTTGAAGTAGAGCTGTTGTCTTTTCTCTGTCACACATGATGATTAGTGTGAACACCAGCAAAACAATACAAAATAATTTAACATATTATTTCTGGAATGTCAATTTAGTAAAGAACTTTTCATTAATTTGGGCTTACTAAGTAACAGAATATTTTTAAAGGATTATAGCTATCACTTAGCAGCATGCACAGTAATTGCAGCTAGAACAAATGTTGATGAAGAGACAACTGATACAAAAAAATGCTGCATAACAATCCCAATCACAATACTACATAGCTTGTTTCTGAGGAGAATACACAATAGTGTACTTAGGATTCATATCACACAATTATTAGCCCACTCATTGTACCTTTCATTGTCTCTGCAAACCCCTTCTTTCTAAGTGATTCAGTGTAGCCTGGGGCTAACGGTCCAGCCTTGGTGGCCCACGGAGTCCAGAGCACAGCACAGGACGCCCTGGGGGGGCCTCACAGTTCCCCCCCTTCCTTCCTTCCAGCTCTGCCAACCGGACTGGACTCTTCCTGACCCAGTTATCCAGAGGCCGCAGGGCAGGACCAAACTGGCCCGTTCCGTCCCCTGCTTCCCTCACATAGGCACTCTGCACCTGAATTTAATGTTGAACAAACTAATGTATATTTCAGCTCAGTTCACCCACGCAAAGAATCACCAATTTCCTAACTAATGCTTCTTTTATTGTTATATTCATATAACAATTTCAACTAAAGTATTTCAAATTTTGGTTCCTTAATCTTTCCCCCAGGAAACCTAAAGACCTGGAAAAATATTATTTATGATTTAAGGATAGCTAACACTTACCAAGAGATTATTGCTCTGCACTATTTCAAAGGGTTTACATGTGTTTACTCTTTTAATCTTCTCAGCTGGAACTAGTTTTATCCCCAATTCACACATACGGTTACTGAAGCACAGACAAGTTAAGTAACTCACCCAAGGTCACACAGCTAGTAAGTAGCAGAACCAAGGTAAGAACCCAACTAACCTGGCTTCAAAGTTAGAGACTTTTTTATTGTTACTGTGGCCTTCTCAAACTATGATGTACTACTCAACTCACATTCTAAAAGCCACTGTTACCTAGCACAAGGCAACAAAATCATTTTTTTTAAGTTGTTTTATTTATATTTGCATTTTACAAGCAACTGATTAAACTGAAACATGATGAAATAAGTCGGCAGATGTCATCACTTATATATCCTAATATATATATAAATTAAAATTAATGTGCTAATGTAGAAATATTTTCCCTTTTAAACGATTATAGGAATTAGATGACTTAAAGGATATAAAGAAAATAATCAGAAAAAAATTATGCATTTCAGTATAAATAATGTACATTTCAGTATATTCAGAAAAAGATACTGAAGTTAGAGACCATGTAACTTAAAAATCAATACAGCGTCCTTTTCGTTCCCAATCTCCATATCGGGTAGGTTCTGGGCCCCTGGGTCCACCTTTTTCTTTGGTAACAGGATTAATATCATCTGGAAATTCTGAAGAAAGAAGATGTCAAAAAAAGAAGAAGTAGTCAAAAAGGCAGGAAAAGCATTATGGTCAGTTTTGAAGATGGGACTGCAGAACTGCCCAGCTGATGATAGGCTAGATACACGGACTAAATTATTATTACTGTGTGGTCTTTAAATGAACTGTAAATGTGGTTGGTTCTTTTCCCTAAGTTTGAGAAATCAGGTTAGGATAGAATATTTCAAGTTCAATCAACTTTATCAACTAGATTAGTTACTTAGAATTCTTGGGTGCGCTCTCAGCTCCACTCTGGAAGCAGCCGCATGGATGCTACTGGATCAAAAAGAAGGAAAGGGAATACAGAGCACAAATCTGTAGTCTGAAAGATTTTAAAACAAGATTACTTTGACTCAATGCCTTAGTTTTCTTTGCAGTAAAATGGGTATATCATACCTGCCTCACTATCTTGAAAATGAAACTAAGAAATGTCTGTAAAGGGTCTGGCATGGTACGTAAGAATGCTTGATTAATATTAGCTGTGAGTATTACTAGTCCTCATCAAAGCTTTTCGACCTCAGCAACTGTTCAGCTGATACTGTTGTTTAAGATATAATAGCCTTCATTATTGGTAATATTGTTGTACTCATAATAGGAATATCCATCTTGAGTCAGGCCGAATTCTAAGCATTTTATACAAATTAACTCATTTGATCCTCAAAACAATCTAATGTGTTATAGATGAGGAAAATGAGACCCAAGCTGGTCAAGAAGCTGCTCAAGGTCACGTGGCTACTCAGCGGTACAAGTGAGTTTCAGTTCAGTCTGGCTGCAGTCTTGCTCTTAGCCCAGGAACTGTGCCGCTCTGTGTATGGGAAGAACAGGCAGGAAACAGCTTTCAGAAAGAACCCCAATTCTTCAACTATGTGTCTCTTTAGAAAACTAAACAAACATCTCCAGAATCACGTAGTCCCCACTCCAGGCAAAAAAAAAGAAGATACAGAATTTACCTAGAAATTTTTCAAGTACTTATCCATTTCCTAACTATTTCTTGACTGTGGATAACCCCTCCCCCACCCATGTCATCACTCCTTTTGTCTAAAGCCCGTCTTGCTTTGCTTTCCTCTGAAGGTCAAACAGAAGCTCCTCCTCCCATGTTTGGGGCTCACGGTGTCTCAACATGAGCCACAACAAAATCCCACAGACTGGGTGGCTTAAAAAACAGAAACCAGTCTTCCTATAGTTCTGGGGGGTGGACGCCTGGGATCGGAGCACCAGCGCGACTGGGCTCTGTGGGGGCTCCCCCGGGGCGTGCACGCAGCCGCGAGCTCTCTGGTGTTTCTTCTTAGAAGGGCACTAATTCCATCGTGGGGCCCCAGACCTCATGCCCTCATTTTAACCTGATTCTCCCTCAAAGACCCCATCTCTAATTACCACCACACTGGGGCTTAGGGCTTCAATATATGGACCTCAGGGGTACACAATTCAGACCACAGCCCTGGGGAAGAAAAAAGGGTCAAGAGGGCCCTGCCCCTCACTCTGTCCTGCGTCTCATTCTACCACCTCGCTTCGCCATTCTTTTGAATTCCACACCATTCACCTGTCCAATCTTTTTTAGTTTTCTAATAAACCCAAAGACTTTTCTATCTTCTTGGATAGGGTCAGTATTTGCTGCATAGTCTCATCTCTCCCCATCCTTAGTATCAACATCCACATTAGTACCCTATGTTGGGGCCACAGAGGTCCTCAATCCTCTGCTAATCTATGAAGACGGTGATCTTCATTTCCCTTCTGCCATCCACTTGGATTCTATCATCTCACGAACGTGTTCCTTCTTCAAGTCCCATAGTCTCGAGCTCTCTTCTTTCTGCCTCCCTTCGTCTTCACATTTGTTTAACCTAGTTTTCACCCTCATCATGACCTAGTTTTTGGAACCTTTATTCTCACTACTTCCACATGGAATCGCACTGAGCCCCACTGCAGACTAACGAATAGTTTCCTAACTTGTCTGTGTTTTCTGACTCTCATGGCTCCAGCCTCACCTGCACAGAAGGCTGAGTTAATCTTTTTAAAACAGAAACCATCCCCCACATTTAAGTAAAAGAGGCCAGACATGAAAGATTACATCTTACATGATTTAATTTACATACAATTCTAGAAAAGGCAAAACTGTATCGACAGAGAACAAATCACTTGGTGCCCGGGGGCTGGGGGACTGACTATGAAGACATGTGAGGGATCTCCACCCCCGTCGTTGGGGGATGGAAGTGACTGACTCATGCTCTGTGTTGACTTCATGACTGTAAGCATTTATTAAAATTCACTGAACTGCTTACTTAAAATGCGTGAAATTTAAAATGAGTGAATTTCATTATATGCAGACTATACTTTAGTAAAGCAGGTTAAAACAGTCTCCATCCAAAAATATCCACTGCTCCCACACCGCCCACTGCATTAAGCCCATATACTGTAACTTAGCACTTCAGGCCCTCCCAGATTTGGGCCAAATCTACCTTTCTAGCCTTATATTCTATTAATCTACTATATACACTTTATGATGCAGCCTAAGAGGCCCATTTTCTGTGTCTGTGTTTTGCATGTGCCGTGTTCCCCAGCCTCTTTCTTTTTGACCACTTTTTTTTTAAATATCCCCCCACCACTCCTTACATACTTAACACAATTTTATTACCCCTTAAAACTCCAGCTCAACCGTTACCGCGTCTGCCTACCTTTCTCTGATCTTTTCCTGTGTCTCTCTCGTGCCAGCTACCACACAATGTCCTGTTCAGTTATTTATGGATCTCACTTTATGTATCCATCTTTGCACCAAACAGGGTGCCTAACTGCAAAAATCCTCCTTTGTCATCTTAATAATGAAATCTACTCTTTGCACAGGGACAATCTCTAAATATTTTTTGGGATAATGTATGTACTGAAGACAGGGACGCAAGACTGGAAATCAGTAAACAAGGAAGAAGACAGACTTGTCAGGGGACCAACAGAACTACAGACAGCTTGGATTCGGGCCTTGCTGGTAGGACCGAGGAGAGATGACCGGGAGGCATCGGGAAGGCGAGCTCAGCAAGGCTCGGTGAGCGGATGGATGCAGCACACAGGAAGGGGCAGGAGCGGAGGATTGCCCCGGATGTCAGGCTGAGGCGACCTGACAGATGGGGCACACTGGGAATCCAGGAGGAAGAGGGCTGAGGGAGAGCCTGTGGCAGGGAACAATGAACGGAGGATGACTTATTATGGACATATTAATTTTGAGATTTGGAATATGCAAATGAAGATGTCCAAGAGGCAGCTGGAGCTAGAAGCTCAGGAAAGTGGTCTGACTAGAGGTATAAGTGCATGAGTTACCAACACCTATGTGACAGTTAAGATCATTTTAGGAGGATATGAGTTCTCCCCAGAAATATTTGGGGGCTAAGGAAAGAGGCCTGGCAAATTCCTACATTAGGCAGTTGGGTAGAGACAATGAAGCTTAAAAAAGAGCCTAGGAAGAAACAGTTAAAGAAAGAGGATGAGAAACTGGAGAAAGCATGACCAGAACCAAAACAGATTTCCAGGAACAGTGGTTAACACTATCTAAGGCTGTGGGTAGTTTGAATAAAATGAGGATTGAAAAGCATCTCCTGGATTTAGTGATATTTGCAAGACCAGTTTCTAAGAGACAGTATGCCCATTATAAACTTAAGTGACTAAAAATTAAGATGATGACCTAGTATTGTGTCAAACAGATGATTACTTTGGAAATGTGCAGCTTTTTTTATTGTATTAAATATATGTAACATAATTTTATCATTTATATCATTTGTAAGTGCACAATTCAGTGGCATTCAATGCATTCACAATGCTCTGTACCCATCACACTATCTATACCCAGAATCTTTTCATTAGCTTTAACTGTAAACTTTATACCCATTAAATAAAAACTTCCCCTTTTCCCTCTCGTGCTAGACCTCAATAACCTCACTCCTACCCTGTCTCTGTGATTTGCCTACTCCAGGTACTCCACATAATGTAAGTGGACTCATACAATACTTGTCCTTCTGTCTGTCTTATTTCACTGAGCATAGTGTTTTCAAGGTCCATGTTGTAGCATGTATCAAAATGCCATTCCTCCTTATGACTGAAGAACAGTCCACTTTATGCATATACCACATTTTGTTTACCCATTCACCCACTGATGGATATCTGGGTTGTTTCTACCTTTTGGTTACTGTGAGTAAAGCTGCTTTGAACATGGTGTGCAGGTATCTGTTCAAGCCCTTGCTTTCAATTCTTTTGGATACAGACCTAGGAGTAGAAATACCGGTTGACTTAGTAGTTCTGGGTCTGATTTCCTGAGAAATCAACAAACTGTTTTCCATAGTAACTATATCATTTTACATTCCTACCAGGAACACATGATGGTTCTAATTTCTCCACTGTCACCATCACTTGTTGTTTTACAGTTTTTCTTAAACTGTAGCCATCCCAACCAGAGTGATGTGGTGTATTTCATTATAGTTTGATATGTATTCTCTTCATGATTAGTGATTTTGAACATCTCAAGTGCTTGCTGGGTATTTGCACATCTTTGCTGGAGAAATACCTATTCATGTTGTTTGCCTGTTTTTGAATTCCACTGTTTCTGTTGTTGCTGAGTTATAGGTGTTCTTTATATATTGTGAATATTAATTCTTTGTCAGGTCCACGATTTACAAATACTTTCTCCCATTCTGTAGATCACCTCTTCACTTGTTTGTTATTGTCTGTTGATGCACAAAATTTCTTAACTTTGATGAAGTCAAATTTATCTATTTTTCCATCTGTTGCCTTTGCTTTTGGCATCAGAGCCACAAAACCATTGTCAGCCCCAATGTCCTGAAGATTTTCCCCTATGTTTTCTTCTAAGGGTTTTGTTGTTTTACCCCTTAAGTTTAGGTCTTTGACATGTTTAGAGGTAGTTTTTGTACATGGTGTAAGGTAAGGCTCCAGTTTCATTTTTTTGCATGTGGATATCCAGTTTTCCCAGTATCACTTATTAAAAAGACTGTTCTTTCCCCCACTGAATGGTCTTCACAGCCTTGTCAAAAATCATTTGAGCATATAGGTGAGGGTTTATTTCTAGGATTGTTGCTTTTATGTGTGATGTTTAAAGGAATTATTTCCTCTCAGATTTTTGTGTTCAGATAAAAACACCAAATAAAAATTTTACCCTTGGATGGTAACTTTTTTTGAAGTCTCCATCATCTTGGTTGATTTGGTTATTAGAGCTTGGTAAAGTGCTGTAAAAGTTGAAGTATTTATCTGAATGAGCAAAGAAAGGCCTTTATACTCTGGAAAGAGGTACAGACACAGGTCCCTGTATCCTCTACTAAAATCTTTTTGCCTAGGATGCTTCACCACATAGATGGATTCACTCTGATGAGACTGGAAAAATCAAACATGCACGGCAGCCTTGCCAAAGTTTCAAAGTGGTATGTTTACATTTATACTGCCTAAAACATGACTTCTGAATAGCTAATACTTGCACATGTTCCACAATTCAAAGTTAAGAGTATAGCATGAAAATAAAGTAGTACTTCAAAAAAAACCTGAGTTTTAAGACATGAGCCAAATTCTGTATATGCTGAATACAAAATGATGCTTAGTCTATCACCCCCCCACCTCAAGAAAACTTTGTTCTCCCAACTTCCCCTTTCCTTTTCCCAACCACCAGGTTACAGTGAGAACAACTGTAACTGGGACCCACACCGCTGGCCACTCTGACCGGTTTAGCTGTAGACATCTGACCCCAAGCTTAGCCAATCAACTATCTTCTTACGGAATTTGGTATTAGGCCTCGGAAATGTATTGCCAGGCTGGTTGCTCACTTGAACTGAGTAGCTGCTGGGAGTAGGTACTGTCTGCCTGCCTAGTAGTCTGAGAAAGGAGTTTGGAGACAGAAAACAATGAGAAGAGACCAGGGACAGGAGAAGGAGGACATCCTGGTGCCCATATACAGGCGCACCCCGTTTCGGCGTGCTTTGCTTCACTGCCCTTCACAGGCACTGCCTCTTCTCTTATGAGCTCGGTGTGGAACGTGCCTAGTGGCGCCACCTCCCGGCAGGGCTTGCTCACTTCTCGTCTCTGGGTCACATTTGCTGATCCTTGCTTGAAAAAAACGTTTCTAGCTTTTTCATTACTATTATAATATTTGTTATAGTGATCTGTGATCACAACCTGCTGAAAGCTCAGCGATGACCAGCCTTTTATCGCAATATTTTTATATTGAAGTATGTACATTTTTTTTTAGACATATGCTATTATTACACACTAAATATGACTACAGTATAAACCTAACTTTTCTATGCACTGGGAAAGCAAACATTCATTTGACTCGCTTTGTCACACTACTCCCTTCATTGCAGTGGCCTGGAACTGACCTGCAGCACCTCTGAGGTGAGCCTGCCGGGTTCAGTCCTGAGGTCTCTGTCTTTCCAGGGTGCAGCCAGAATCACTGCCCTAGGGGGCTTCACCTGTAACCTGCACCCTAAGAACCACCTACCCACCCTACCTTCTGCTTAAGTTTTCTCAAGTAGGTTTCTATTAACTGCATCAAAACAGGAGCTTGGAAATCTTTTTCAAACCCACACAAATCAATGATCAATATGGTAATTTGATTCACTGTTGCAGTATCTTTTACCTTGTTAGTACAGATATAAACAAAATGTTAGTTTTCCTTCATTTTCTTTTCCTCAATAACCGGAACATTTTGATACTCAAAATTTAGAGAGGAGCTTTACTCACTTGTCAGTGGTTCTTTCTCTAAACTGGCATCTTCCGGTGCATCCAGACGACCTTCTGGTAACTTTGGCTTCTTAAGGGATTGGTTGACAGGCTTAGATTTTTCTCCTTGAGAACTCATTTCCCTCAAAGAATTACACAGAAGGGGTGATCCTAGCAGAGTGGAGACAATAAAAAAATAAGAGCTGTTTCATTTTTTCTAATTTAATGATTTTACTTATTTACTTTAACATTCACATTTATCAAAATTCAAAATGTATAAAGAGTGAAAATTCTTCCCTCTTCCCTGACAGCTGTTTCCCTTCTTTGGAGGCAACCAATGATCAATTTGAAAGTGTATGCTTGAAGTAAGTTAACCGTTATCAACATTGTAGACACTTATACATAAAATACTGTCTGAAGCAATGCCAAAAATACCAGGAATCAGATCATTAATAACTAAGCAGTATGAACTTCTCAGTGACAATGGCTGGCATTTAAATCTCTGGAAGTCACAAGGACTGCACTTGGTATTCTTCTATTTATATCCTAATCATGGTCCTCTTTTCCTACCAATTAAACATCTAAAAATGTATTGGGCACCCACAATGTATAAATGAGATCACTCTCTCTCTAGTTATAAAGAGAAAGCTAAGCTTTACTACCCTTGTTGAGATAATGTTCATTAAGGGCAAAATCATTCTGAGAAAATGACATCAGCATTGGGGTCCTAAATAAACAGTTCTAGAGGCAGACAGAGTTGGGTACCAGTTCCACTTCCACCACTGTGGTAGGCAAAATAGTGGTCCCCAAAGATGATCAAGACCTATTATCCAAAACCTGTGAACAGGTTAGGTTACGTGGTAAAGGTGAACTTAGGTAGCAGATAGAAAGATAGAATTAAGTCTGCTCATCAGATGACCTTAAACTAGGGACATAATCCTGGGTTAGTTCACCATGAATCACAAGGATCCTTGAAGGGAGGGGCGAGAACTGGAAGAGAGAAGCAGATACATGGCAACTTAAGACAGACTTGACCGATGTTGCCGACTGTGCAGATGGAGGAAAGAGGCAACCAGTCAAGGAACCTGGGCCACCTGCAGGCACTGGAAAGGAAACGAATTCTCCCCTAGAGCCTCCAGAGGGATACTGCCCTAACTCCTTGATTTCAGCCTGGAGAGACCCATCTCAGACTGCTCACATCCGTAACTGTAAAATGTTTTAAGTCACTAAGCCAATGGTAATTGTTACAGCAGCAATAGGAAACTAATACAAACACCCACTGTTCAAAGTTTGTCAAGTTGCCTACTTTTCTAAATTGAAGATAATAGTCCCTATAGCATGAGGTTATTAAATAGATTAAACAGGACAATTCAAAGAAGCACTTAGCATACTGGCACATTTTATATATCATTATTATTATTATTATTGTAGAATTATTATTATTGCATTATTATTGTGGAAGCTGAAGGCATTATATATCTATTTTCCTTCATTACATGTATTTTGTTCATATTCTAGCTATCACTACATCACCCTATTCCCTGCTTTAAAAAATTATACACACATAAATACATAAGACACAAATGTTTTTAAATATCTGTCTCTGTGTTGCATACACACACTCCATAGCCAATTTAGAATCTAAGAATTTACAATGCAAGACTTTAGGAATTTAGAATGTAAGACTTATTTTTAAGATTAAAGTTTGCATTATATACAAACTGCATTAACAATTTCAAAATAATACATGCTGTTCATTTGCAAATCTACTGTATTTAGCTCAGTGTCTAGCAAAATTGTTGACTGTCTGAATGACCAACTGCAATGCAAATTAGCATTCTCCAAAAGCCCACAAAATATAAGGATTTAAAAAAACATAACTGAGTGTTTTAATAAACTGTGACAATGATCTATAGAATTAATATAGTATCCTCCCATCTGCATGCTCACTTACATGAGATACCTCATATTTATGACACTAATTGGCTGAGGAAAAATGTGTATCAACAAAAGTTTCTATACATATTAACATAAAAACACTTATTTATAATTTTTCTTAGTCATTAATTTAGAGAACAGACCATTCTGCCTTCAAACTCCTACTTCAATATCTAAGGGCATGCTTTTTTCTTGTCCTCATAATAATACTTAGACATATTACTAAATAGAAAATCTGCAATAATATCTTACATGGCAGTATTTATTGTTATTTAGAAACTAAGTGGAAAACATAGGAGTTTCTGACTGTGTTAGTGTATTTCATATCTGATCTTGGTTTACTGTGGTTGGCTATTTATGAAAGTATTACATGGAAAATTTTAGCGAATACAGACCATGCACAATTCAAAGACATCCCCAGTGCAAATCATAGGATTTTTACAACTAGTCACTTGTTATTTGAAATATAGATTCTCTCAAATTTGACATTATATCCCAATTTAGCAAGCAAACCAACTTCCACAATTGAAATTTCTGTCCATCATCTTTATGTTCAACTGTATCTATCCATCAACAAATCTGTTACCAATTTGTAAAGCATGAGAGGTTGTTTACCTAAGTCAAGATAGTTCAGTAATATTTAGTACAGATATACAGAAAAGAGAATGTTAACAATTACAAATTGGATTCTAAATATGGACATATTTTACATCTACTTTGGCTAATGAGTACATTCTGCATTTGGTTACTAATTAGATCTATTTTACTGTACATTAAATAATTCACCTTGAAGCCTAAAAATCCGAAGGGTACCGGTAACCACATGCTATCGCACACTGGGGCTCCACTCAATACAGTAAAATTAGCATGTGTTTTAGGTTTGGTCATTTTGCAAGTGAAAAAAACATTCTTAATTGAAGCTTGAAATGATATTCAGTGAAATACTAATCATGATATGTTCTAAGTCTATAGACATTCCTAAGCATTTATATAAAAATCATAAAAATGGCACAAATAATACTGCCTCTTAAATGATGCAGATATACTAAGGAATACAAGTAATAAATATGTGTTAGATGCCTACTATGTGCCAGACAATGTGCTGGGACTGAACAGATGTCACCTTAGTTAAGCCTCACAATAGCTGGATGACAGGTAGAACTGTCTTTATTTCGCAGGAATTACGTTCAACATGAACAAAATCATTTCTGAAAGGTGACATCGGGTGGACATGGTAGATCCCCCTAAACGTGCCAAGGAACCACTTTTCCCTTCTCCCACGCACTTCTAAGACTCCCGCTCCCACCTTGCTTGCTATTAAGCAGAGCCTGAGGCCACTCAGAGGGTACATTTCCCAGCCCCCCTGGCAGCCACATGTCCCAGCTGTGACCAGTGGGCTGTAACTGGAAGTGCTATGTGCATATTTTAGGTCTCCTCGGTTTTGAAACAAGCTGACCGCCCTGGATTTCTTTTCTCCTTCCCCCAGGTCATAATATGGACACGGCAGTGGTCCGGCTTCAACGACACACATGAGGACAAAACCCTGAGCAGAGGGACACTTACAATGTGAATGTGTACGATACGGACGCTGCGCGTCGGAATGCACACAGGCTGTGAATAACCAGCTATGGGCTGACCTCCGGCACTGCCCTGTGGACGGTGGAACAAGATGATGGGAAGAGCCTGGATCCCTGAATAACCTGCCAGAGTGACCCTGCCTGTCCCTTCGGCAGAACCGTTACAGCAGCATGGCCCTTCCCCTCACGCAATACAATGGAAAAGTAAGGAACTTGCCAACTAGGGGCACTAGAGTCACACACACGGGTTCTGAAAGCACTCACACCACTTACGAGCAATGTGACCCGACACATCTGTGGTATCCCACCAAGTGTAAAACGGGGATATTTCTACTCACCTTGCTGGCAGTGCGGTGGGATGAAGTAAGGTCTGTGTGTCTATGTGCACACACAGCGTGTATCAATAACTTGCGCCTAACGAGGGACGCAGAGGTCCACGGGCCTAAGGGCTGTGGGAGGAACAGGAACACGCGTCTACCTCAGGGAACGAAAGGAGGGGAACCAAGGGCAGCTTGAAAAACCGGCCCCCTCCCTCTGGTCCCAGGCACTTCTGAAGGAACTTTATCTACAGAAAGAAGGACCGGTTTTCTCAGGGGCTCTGAGACCACGGCAGCACAGAGAGCTCTTTTTGTAGTCAGGTGACAGTGCGACAGAATGCGGAGAAAGATAATTCCCTTCATTTCTGCACAATACAACGTAAGGCAGGAGACACCTGTCAGTTCTAGTTTAGGAAGAAGTCCACGCCCAGCAGCCTCACAGGGGTGGTGGTAGTGAGGCACGTACAACTAGCCTCCAGGGCAGACACAGAAAGAAAGGTCGCGTCAGACGATAAGGATGAGCAGAGAGATGACTGGCGAGTCCAAGTGCCACTCCTCTGGGTTCTGCCCATCAGACAGCAGGTCCCAGGCAACAGCACCCACATTCATGTCGGCAGCACATTCTGGCCATCAGCAAGCTTCTGACTACCTCCACACGGACAACAGCTGACAAGCGTAAAGCAAAAACCAGCTTGTGAGAAATAAAGAAATCACTACCCTAAAGCCCATGTCTTCAAGGGGTAGTCTGGCCTCACCTAAAGCCTATATACAATTGTGTTTACAAGCACACTACTGGCAAGAAATGACCTCCTAAGGGAAGAAATAGTATCAGTAAAGGAAAAAGAGCTCCCATTGAAAAATAAAAACAGAAGCAGAAAGAACTGCAAGTATCTATCTAAATCAGAGGCAAACCTTTAAAAAAGTAAACAAGAGAAGCTAACAAAGCTGTCCAGAGAGGTAAACAACCACTTGAACCGCCGGATACCTGTCTTCCTCACCTACACCCAGAGGCAGAGAGCTTTCGGGACAGCAGGGAGCAGGGAGGCTTGGAGGCCTAGCAAAAGAAACACCTACCAGAGGCCAGCTCTCAGGGAGGCTCACTCACTGAGAAAAGAAACAGCCTGGAGATTTCAAAACGGGCATGCAAACCATCTGGGGGATCTTGCTAAAAGGTAGATTCTGCACAGGCCTGAGTGGAACCTGAGATTCAGCATTTTAACAAGCTCCCAGGTGATGTTCATGCTGCTGGTCCAAAGAGCAAAGAACCAGAAGAAAACCTCCACTTCATAGGAAGAACAGCTAAGGAAGGAACCGTGTCCATGTCAACCTTAGTTCTCAG